TTTGGAACTTGAGCCTAAGCATCTCTTGATAAAAAAAAAATTATTAACATTTTTCTTTATTTATTTATTTTTTATTGATTTTCTTTCTAGGGCTTTTTGTGATATACTTTCTTTTATCACTCTCTCCCCTCCCATCACGTTGTCTGATTGATCAGCTGAAGATGTAAATTATTGCCTTGGCAAACTCATATGTTTCCTCTGAAATCAAAAGGAGGTTTAATGTGTACAATTATGCTCTTCTCATGAGTTGATTTCTGTGTGGGTGATGTGCACCTGCAGCTCTGATGTGGCTTGAGTTTTGGTGTAACTGCATATTTTCTGCAGGAGTTGCTTTTAAAACAAATGCAGTATTTTTACTAGAGATTACTCTGTCCTTTAGCTGTGTCATCTTTGCTCTGAGGGGAGAGAGAGCTGAACAGGGTCTGCACCAGTATAATAAATGCTCCTTTGTCACAGCAAATTTTCTCTGATGGGTGTGATGCTTTAAAGAGTGTTACGTTTTCTAAGCCAGCTGAATTTACCAGGCAGCTGGAGGGTGCTTCATGCACAGAAATTCCACAGCAAATTCAGGTAATTGCGTATTGTTCGTGACTGTGCAGAAGGCATGATGTTAATGAAAACCACAAGGAGATAATTCAGACTGGATAGTACCTGTCATGGTGGGATTTATGCTGGGGCAGTGGAGAACCTCACTACACAGAAATATCTGGAAGGTTGCTTTTCCTGGTCATGGTGGGTAATCAAGAAGGAAGAACATTACACTAGGTTCATGTTCTTCCTCATCTTCTGAACCTCTTCTGACCGGAATTGTGGTAAGGCTTGGGAGAGGACGCAGAACTTTTCAATCCTCATACTCACAAGCCTGTGCAAGGCCTAGGCAGGGCTGTCTCTGATGAACCCCAAAATCCCTTGGTAAGGGTGTCAGTGGAGCTGCCTGCCTGCTGAACTTGCCATGACTCTTCTGTGCTTTAACCCACAATTTGATTTGGGGGATTTTATGCTCACAAGAAGGAGAAAGGGAACCTAAAGTTAAAGCAATGTGGAGGGATGCCAGGGCTCCCTATGGAGGTGGAGAGCACAGATCCAGGGTGCTGCTGCAACACTGATACCAGCTCATTTGGTGTTATTGGAAAGGAGGGGAACTCTACAAGCAGAGGAATCACCTTGGAAAACAAATGGGAGGTTTATTGAAAATAACATCAACTATATACTATTAAGAACGTACTACCAACAAGAAGTGTAAAATTTGGTTCTGTGAGCTTTTTGCTCACTTTCCTGCAAATTCTTTGAGCAGCAGGAGGCAGATGGAGTCCTCCTTAGCCCACAGGCCTTTCTGAGCTTCAGTAATTTCATGTTTGTTCCATCAATATCTGCCTTATGTTGAAAATTATGGGTTCCAGCATAAGCCAGCCAGGGAGTTGATAAAAAAGCCTCGTACACAGTGATCTACAATTCCTCACATCATCTAGGCTTCTTTACAGTCTGAGATCTCTTAACTCATTCTGCTTGCCTTCCAAACTCTTTTAGATAAACAGGTTTTTTTGGCTAAGATGAACTTCAGACTAAAGGAAAAAAAAAAAAAAAAAGGAAGCAAGCTTCAAAGCTTGCTTTTAAATAATCATATTCAGTCATTAACATGAGAAATGGCTTTGTGTGTTCCTAGACATGTCACAGAAATTACTAAGATAAATAGATTCCATGACAAATTTTAGGTACTTTTTTTGCAGTCTTGTGAACGTATTTGTTTTCTTCTATGTTTGATGCACTCTGTCTCATTACAGGTCAGGAGGGGGAATGAGCCAACATATCCAGACTTTCAGGGCTTTCAAAGAGAAATTTCTCATGTTTCTCTTCTTAAGTGCCAGCTGATATAAGTTAGATGAGATTTTTGTCTTGAATGTGGAAATATTAACGAAAAGTAGTAGCTCATGAGTGGAGGGAGGAAGAAAGAACACAGGTTAGGAAAGACAGATGTGTTTAATGACAAACACATTTGTCCATGGGAATAATTTCTACTGGCTAGAAGCCCAATTAAACACATAAAGTAGAAATCCAGAAAAGCAGATTAATGATCCAGTCATTAGCAATGGGGGAAGAAAAAGACAAACCCAGCTAATTCTGTACTGAGCATGACAGATGAGCTCACAGCAAATAATTGGGTGACATTCATCAAATGTGAACTGAAAGGAGGCATTGGAGGGCAAAACACTGCCATAATCTCTGGGATTTACAGTGTTGGAGCATTTGCTCATAGGAAAAGGAAAAGTTCATCAAAATAAATTAAGTTGGGCCTTCCAAAATTCATTCTGTACCACAGTGCTTGCCAAAACTTTATTGGAGGCTTGATCATTTTTTTGGAACTGTTATAACTGTGCATGTAAATCATACAAAGATGAGACCCTGGCTGGGAAAAGCTTACACAACTCCTGCCAACAGAATTGTGGGTGGCTTCATATTAACTGGCTCAGGAAGACCACAAACCTCAAATATTTCTATTTCTAAACCCTTGTCAAGGTGACCTAGTCCAGGAGGAAGCCTGAAAGGGAGTTTAACTATTGCATACTGAACTTTAACAGTGTTTTAATCCTAACTTTCTGCATTTAAAAACCAGACAAACAAACAAGAAATTCAAACAAACCCCCTTCAGGTACCAGTTTTCAGTGTGATAAAGCCAAAAAAATAATGTAAAACCTTTTGAGTGTGGCAGACTTGTAGTAGAACCTGTTGCAGCACAGAAAGTAGAAGTTGATCACCCCTTGCTATTTTTGCCACTCTGTGTTCACTGGATTAACTGGAAGATTGTTGGACTGTTCCCAATCTTAATTGATCATCACAGCATTTAAAAAGTGTGTAAATATTCATGTCCTCATCTACAAGTTGAAGACCATGTCTCAGCCCATCAGAAGATGTGGATATTGAGTGCAGGGTTCTTAGCAAGTAGTCACCGGGCATATTCAATTCACATCAGAATTGAGAATTTGGGGTTTCCATGGAGGCCATAAATATTAAAAGAGAAGAGGGGATATTTAAATATTCCCTGTGGTATTTAGACAATATCTAGAAGTTTGGGAATCCTTTGAGCAGCGCTTGTAGAGCTGAGAGAGATAAAGTTACTGCAAACATGAATTTTTGCCTTTTAGCTGGACTCAGTATGAATCAACTGCACAGTCTGTTCTCTCCTGTGAAAATTTTATTTTGATGTGGAAGTATTAAATGGGAAATATATCTTTTAGTAGTAGCACTCACTGACCTTATTCAGCCTGCAGAAGAGAAGGCTGCAGGGAGACATTAGGGCACCTTCCAGTACCTAAAGTGGTTGTAAGAGAGCTGAAGAGGGACTTTGGACAAGGGCATGGAGTGTCAGGACAAGGAGGAATGACTTTGAACTGAAAGAGGGTAGGATTAGATTAGATACAAGGAAGAACTGGATTATCTTTAAGGTCCCAACCCAGACGATTGTATGATTCAACAGAGCAGGACCCTGAATACTCACTGCTGTGCCAGTCCACAGTGCACTTTCCATGAAGTGAGAGTCCAGTGACTGCTGTTTTCTCCCTGTCTCTTCTATTGGCTTGTTCTGGATCCGTGGACAAGTTGCTTTAGATTTTCCTGTTCGTGTTTACCTTTGGCTTTAGCTAAATGTTATGTGTATAGAGTTTATTTGCTGTCATATAGGTCATTCTTATGACCTTATGCCATGTGTGCCATAACAGTGGCTGTTTTTGTTTTTTCTCTTGAGGGTGCTAAATACTGTTATGATGACATTACAAGTAAAAATGGGAAAAAATCTGAGGAGGAAGTCTTAGTGTAGAAGCTAGTCCTACTTCTAAACCTCCCTTTCTTTCCAATTTTTCAAACTGTCAATGGAAAAGCCTTGAGTTGATTAGATATCAAATTTCATGACCAATAATAGCATGTCCTTCGAATGACAGCTTCTCCAGGGAAGAAAGCCACTATCTAGAGGTGATATCATTGCTGAGAATACAATTGATGCTGCAGCAATATTCTATGTAAGCTCATTCTAAAATATCACTGTCAGATAAAGGAAGTATATGTAGGAGAGAATCTAGGACCTTTCTCTTAGCTTTATTTAAAACTTAAGATGCCAGTGAGTGATATTCCATACAATAGACAAATGCTTTGTGCATTGCTTTATCTTAAAACCTGCAAGACTGCCAAACCATCAGAATGTAGGAAATTCACTGATGTAAGCCTTGTTTTAGCCAGGTCTGAGATGGTGCCAGAAAGAACACCTACAGCAAGAGTAAGTGACTCTTGAGAGGTTTTAGAGCCCATATTTTACAAATTATCTCTGTTAGATCTCACTGATGCATGGCATTTTTGCATAGGCTTTAGTTCATTCACTTCATAAAACTGCAGATTTGGATGTCTATCAGTTCCCCCCACGCACATCCGTTTTCAGAGAATATAATTTCAGAGAAACCAGTTTCGTAGTGACAAAGGGCATCTAAGAGCTTAGCTCCAGCTTTCCAAGAGCACATTTGCAGTTAGCAGTAAATGGTGCTAGTGTGGATCTCTGCTGCTAGTCACTGTAAAAGGTTGTTGGAAGACAATCCTGGCCTCAAGGGACTTACAGTGAAGACAAGGCGGAGAAGCAGCAAAGGGGGATTATCTTCTACTTACAGGGGAAGAACAGAAGCACAGAGACTTTAAATTACTTGCCCAAGGTAACTGAGCTGGACCATGTGATGAAACCAGATCCTTCTTTTCCTCCCACTCAGCACTTTTTTCCTGAGATGTTAAAAATCAAACTGGATTTGAATCATAAGAGACAAAATGGAAAGTTCAATAGTACAGTTTAAATAATTCTTCATCCCTCTCAGGTTTGTGATTTCTTTGGAGTTAGCCAGATGCCTTTAGGGACAGCTGTGCCCGTCATAGAAAATATACCTGAAAGACAGTTTGTCAAGCACTTCTAGAGGTGTCATTGCAGAGTGTCTCAGAAGGGTCATCACTGACTTTCTTTGGTGTTTCCATAGGTGACAACTGGTGGAAGAGCAACTTACTATGTGTCATACAGACGGGAACCTTTTGCACAGATCAAATTACCCAAATACTCCCTTCCTAAGGTGAGTCCACCATGTGTGAGCGTGGATATGTAATATCTTGGGAAGCCAAATATGTGAGGTTCCATAAGGTGAAGTGCCAGGTCCTTCTCTTGGATCACAACAACCCCACACGGTGCTACAGGTTGGGGACACAGTGATTAGAAAATGGCTCAGTGGAAAAGGACTTGGGGGTGTTGGTTGGCAGCAGCTGAATATGAGCCATCAGCTCCTGAGATGGCTAAGAAGGCAAATTATTATCTTTGTATCAAAAATATTGTTGCCATCAGGACTAGGAAAATGACCTGCTATAATACAGATTTGTTGGTGGCCCTCATTTAGAATTGCTGCATGCTATAAAATCAGAGGTACTTTTGTAATTTAAAGATCAGAAGAACTTTAAGGCTAGGTGTCATGGAAAAGTCCTGGAGCCATGTAAAGGAGGACTGTTTATGCTGCCCTTAGTTACTAGAATATTTTTGCTGTACAGTAATAACTATCTGTCATGTGCAGATTAATGAACTCTGCTGGAGTTGTACGTATGTGAGGTTGGCACCAGGGTAATGCAATATTTCCACGCTGTAACTGGTAAAAACAGATTGAAATCATTGGGCATTTTGCTTTATTTTCACACTGCTGGAATAGGTTGGGTACCTTCTTAATCTTTAAGGAATTACAGCTGCTGGGCAAGAACAAACCTCCTGATTTAGTCTTCCTTTGTTGAGGGAAATGGCAAATCTCTCACTGATTGTACTCACTGGGATAGAATTAGGCCCTCAAATGTTTTTTCTCCCCATCTCATGCTGATAGGATATGTTAGGTCTATTAGAAATAGCCCCATTTAATAAATCCTAACTTTTCATCTAGATACCTCACACAAAAGATTAAGATGCCTCCTAGGCAGGATGAGGATATTGAGCTGATCTTCCTCCAGATATTCTTTCCTGAAATCAGGTCACTCCATCCTTTGGGAGACTTCCAGAATTATGATTTCTTGATGCAGAAACAGTGCAAGAAATTAATCAAGGCCTCTTGGCCTCTAGAGAAAGTTTAAATAGATACAAATAGATAAATGGAGTCTCGTATAACCACAGTCATTTTGCTTCTAGCTGAACCTGAACCTGAGCCTATGTCAGTTTGTTCCACAATGGTAGCAAGGATGAAGTGCTTCAATACTCATCACCACCCTGAAAGTAATTTCCATGAACCTGTTTGAAAATAATACCAAGAAAATGCACTGTCAAATTTCTTTGATATTAAAACTAAATGGGGAAACCCTTGTTAGACTTTTTTGTATCTTGGTCAGCGGCAGAAATCCAACAAAGGTTAGTGGGTGGATTATTTTATAGCCTCTATATTGTGGGATAATTATCTCAGATAAACTGTCAATAGAAAGTGTGTTAATAAAAATCACTATCAGCAGCAGCTCAAACTGATATCTCTACCTCACCTTCAAATAAATGTGAACTCCAAGGTTTTTTGAAATCATCCCTTGCCAGTTGGAAGCGCAAACCCATTGTTTCAGCATGTGAATGAAAATTATCATTGCTTTTAGCCTGGTGCCATATAATGCTTAGTGACTATGAAGACTCCAGTCTCCAAGGCTGTGAATCTTCCATGAGTAATAAAACCGACTTACAAATTTATAAATAAAAAATGAAACTGGATGAAATTCCTTGAAGGTACCAAAAATGAAGAAAGCAAAAACCCTTCACCCAGCTGGTGATTATTTAAAAAGTGAAATGCAGAAAAGTCACAATGCTGGTAATTTATTGGCTTGCTCTAACAGAAAGTTGTTAAACATACCTATAATTCATGCTCCATCTCCATTCTTTCATAATTCATGGTAATTACTACATGTCCCGAAGGGCAAAGAAATACAGAGATCCTCAGTAACAGGCCTTTTGTCTTCTTTTAACAGGACATGCATATTATCAGCACAGACGAGAATCAGGTCTTTGCAGCTGTTCAAGAGTGGAACCAGAATGACACCTATAACCTGTACATCTCGGACACCCGAGGGATCTACTTCACCCTGGCCTTGGAAAATGTGAAAAGCAGCCGAGGACTGGAGGGGAATATTGTCATTGACCTTTATGAGGTATGCAGTAAAGGTCACCCTACAAAGAGCAGCAGTGGCCTGCTAGTTCAAGCAAGTGCAAATTTCTTACCAGCCCCCCAGGATTTTCATTTGTTTTAGGATCAGCCCTGAGGCATTTCCTGGATTTGATGCTGAGTTGACTCATGTGGGTATAGCAGTTATTCTGCTGTAGGTGCAACAACTGGTTGGGTTCAAGTCAATGACTGGTTAGCTATGTGTCATTTCCAAAAGGGAAAACCATTATCCTTCTCATCCTAATGTGGATATCCATAGAAAGACTAAACATACATGTTTTTCCCCTTTGGGCATCTAGAGACGCCTGCTCACAGGTGGGGAATCTGGACTGCACCTTCATGAGCACTGAACAGTTTGTGAGCTATAACCAAAAATTTGTAGGTGCCACTTGCCCATAGATGACAGTTGGATAACTTCTACCCCAAACTGTCTTCTAACCTGTCAGCCTTGGCCAGCAGCAGTGCATTCAGAGCTGTTCCAGTTCCTGGTTTCCTCAGAGCATTCTGGTTTTGGTGTGTTATTACTTGTTGGATGGAAGATTTGCTGAGATCCAGGGCTCACTGCTTTGCCAGCAGCAAACAACTAATCAGTAATACTAATAGAAATGGTTGCAGGCTGATTACTACTGTTACACACAGAAATGTTCTTGCAGCTGCATGCAGAGAGAGGTTACGACTGTACATTTTCTTATTTCAGCCAGAATAATACTCATTTAACAACATAATCAATTATTTATAAAAATCCAGGTGGTTTAGTCAATGAGGGAAAATTCACAAATAACACATTGATTAGTATGAAGCACAGGGTTTATGTTTTTTCTTCACCTGGTTAAATATATTTTTCTGCCTCTGAAAAGGTATATTTCTTCTCTGTGATGAACCAGCTAAAATTAACATGCATTGTCTCACATTCCTGGGCAAACCTGTGTACTCCCCAGTGGTATATCACTGACTTTTCACTGTTAAATGCTAATAAATTTTTACAGAGTCATTTAAAGAGTAGTATCACTCCAGGGGCTTCAGAGTAGAAGGATTTGCATCCTGACAGTTGCCAGGAAGTTGCGGATTTGCAGAAAATTTCTTCTTCCTGTCTCACTTTCACAGCTGTGCAACAGAAACCAGACTCAACATGAAATCTTCTTGGGGATGTTTTGACAGGACCATATTCTGCTGGAATGGGCTCTGCTGACAAAAATCAAAATATTTGAAACAACTGGCTTGATTTGTCAGAATTTGGATGTGGAAGGAAAGTGAAAAAATCAAGTTTGCAAAACATCAGTGTCACAGCATGTTCAGGATTCCCATCTTTTGTATTGATTTTTTTTTTCTGGTACACAGAAGGATCCCACACTGCTTCTGATGTGATCTTCTGTCTCCCCTGTTTTGGCAGTCTGTGGAGGCAGTGGGGCAGACCCCATCCTCAAGCTCACAGAGCTCAAGTGTGAAGGTGTAGCATGCCCATCATCAAGCCCATCATCAGCCTATCTGCAACAACTCAATGAAATGCAAAAGTGGGCTGTTTCCTAGGGATTTGCTTTGTTACCATCCTTGTCTTTCTCTTCCAAAGAGAGAAACCACGTAAGACCTTTCAGCTTTGCAAAATATACCTTTAGTGCCATTTGGTGTTCTAAGATTGATTGAGATGCCTTCCTTGCTTTTACAGAGACCTTCCACTCCTGCGAGTGCTCAGATGGACATTGCTTTTGGCCTGTTCTTCCGACGTATTTTTTTTCACTTCTCTCCCTTTTTCCTAGGTAGCAGGGATCAAAGGCATATTCCTGGCTAACAGGAAGGTGGATGACCAAATCAAGACTTTCATTACCTACAACAAGGGCAGAGACTGGCGTTTGCTGCAGGCACCAGAAACTGATCTAAGAGGGGATCCTGTACTTTGCCAGCTGGTGAGTGGCAGATCTTTTCCAAGGCACAACTGACTCCTTCAGAGCTGCTTATTGTAGTCACTAGGCTAACTGTGTTTTTTCCTCTTGACCTTCTGTGTGTTAAATGAATTCAGTAAATTTCTTTATCTGTAGCTTCATAGGTTTTGAGGGCAAATTCTGACTATCTTTCTTGATGTATTTAATAGAATTCAAGTCAGAATAAGAAAGTTGCTGGGGAAGAGTGCTCTAAGTCAGATTGTTGTCAAAATAAGGGCAGACATGCTTGTTTGTAGTGCAGAGTTCCTGCTTATCCATCAAAGGAGCACATGACCTATGTGAGCTAAGAGCAAAGAAGTCATTTTCAGAGGGATCAGAGCATTTGTGTGCAGTCACCAAGGGTTCCTCTGATATTTAATTTGATGAATATTAAAGCTTCTGCCTTTTGTTTATTTTCTGCCAACAGCCCTTTTGCTCACTGCACTTGCGCCTGCAACTCTCAGAGAATCCGTATACTTCAGGGAGCATTTCCAGCAAAGAGACAGCTCCTGGGCTGCTGGTGGCCACAGGTAAGAACATAAGTGCTTCTCATTGCTCACCCATACCTCCCTGGGAGCCTGAGAGTATATGAGGTATTCCCCATTGGTGTAAAACCTTTCAGCTCTGCTTAAGCAAGTGCTGAGCTAATTCACATTAACTCCCATTTGCTTTGGGCTAGGAGAAGGCATATGGCCGCAAGTTCAGAAAAGATTTCAGATATTTGTTGCTCTATAATAACCCATTTGCAGATGTAAGCCCACGGTTTCAAGGTACCATTACCCAGCGGCATTACTAGGTCCTCTCGTGTTGTTACAACCACTGATGGACATGTCTACCTGCTTGCTGCAGGTGCTCTGAAGGAGAATAGTACCCAAGGGCTGCACTCCTAGGAGGTGTCAATATGTCCCACCTTTTGAGTAGCAAGCACAGAGTTGTCACAAAGTCTGTCAGGTGAACCCTGGGCTTCCTGGGTGCCTGTCTTCTGCATGGCACCTACTTTTAACTCTGTACTGCTGCAAGACAAGCAGCATTTAATCAACACTGCACGGGCCATTGGTGTTGTGGGATGTTCTGCAAAATAGTGCTTTGGCAGGTTGTGTTGTTTAAATGAAAACCTCCTACAGTACTTCATGGTGGCAGTGGCAGAGCCACTGTAATTAATCCACGGGATGGATGGGGGTACCAGCCACCCTCAGCTCTGTGGGAGCTGCTGGCTAACAAAATGCTTCCTGAATGGCTGGTACTATTGCAAGCTGGACTCTGAGCCATGGAGGCAGTTCTGTCTTTTCAAAGAGAGCCTCCTACCTACACTCAAATATGTCTGAATTGCTTAACTGTTCTTTCTGAGGCTCAGTTTATCTCCTTGGTCCTGTTCAGCATAGCAGTGGCCTGCAAGTGTGGGCAGTTAACATACTGTCTGCATGAATTTACACTATTTCCTCCAACCATTTTCATTCTCATGTCCTTCTGTGCTGCCAGAATAAGGCAGAACCAGAGACGGGTTCCCTTCATGACGTTTATATCTCAACAAGGGAGACGCCATGAGATTTCCAGTTCACTGATCCAGGCCAAATGAAGTGAGATAATTTGGTTCAAACCTCCAGATATCCCCATGCATAGCCAAGTGGAGTCATCACTCCTGGCAGGTTGCACTTGCTAGATGGGTGCTTAGGAACAAGCCTAACTCATGATGTTGTAATTACAAAAGCTTTTTTTTTTTAACCTTTTAGGAAGCAAATAGAGGCAGCAGGACTGTGAGATTCTAGCATTGATCTAAATTGTTAGTAAATTATGTTCTGTTCAAACTGCCAGTGCATGGGATGAATGCTTTCCCAGTCTAACAATTAACCTTTAAAAGGCGGAATATAATTTCTGCCTTACTGCTTTGTAGATGAAAAAACCTTACCTGTTGGGAATATACACATCTGTTTCCACTAACCAGTTTCACAACAGCAGGAGCATCTCACCATGTTGCTGAATGCATTCAAGTACAAGCTTTGCAATTTTTTCTCACAAGTGTTGGCTGCTCAAACACTTCATTTACAGTGAGACATTTCCAGCAATGACTGGAAAGTTGGACACTTGGTACAGGACAGAGGTTAGATTCCTGCAAATGGAAGAATTATGTTTTTTTATCTAATTGTACAGCTGATAAATCCTCTTGACTTGTTTGGGAGTTACATTTTGTGAGGTTTAAATGCATGCAGCTGAAAGTAGAGGAAGAGAATGAAGGAAATAATGGAACATCTTTGCACAGAAAAACAGAATGAAGTGATAACAACCAAATTCTTGCCTTTTTACTCCCTTTCTGTGCCTCCATCTGTAAATCCATGTTTGAAAATTTGGAGTTTCCATTTTGGTGTTTAAAATATAATGATACAGAACTTACACTGCTACCTTTAAATCAGTGTCTAATTCTTGAGAACTTTCACTCATGATAAGATACTGGGCTAAGAAGATGTTTGAACTGAAACGGTAGATTTATACTCTTGAACCTGGATGTCCCTATAGACTGACCTTCTCTGTGGCTGCCCACATCAGGTTTTCTTTACAGCCTCATCTAAAACAGTTGGTGTTTGGAAGACCAAACTGGTCTTCCAGACACCAACTTGCTGGTGTCAGGGAAGAAAATTAAGTAGATGGACAGAATAACATTTCCTATATTCTGAGCACTGATGAAAACACCCTTCTTGAGTTGCAATGCCTCCCAGAGCCAGAACTTTTTTGAACCAGCATTGACACAATAATGTGGTTAGTTGAATTCTGTGATGGTAACAGGAGAGTGTCAACCTATTTTAATTTCTAATTTTCCAGCATTAAATGTCAGAAATTTAATTAACATTTTCATTAGCATGTTCATCCACAGAATAATGTCCGACACTTGTGTTGCAGGCAATATTGGCTCTGAACTTTCCTACACGGATGTTGGCGTGTTCATCTCTTCTGATGGTGGCAATTCCTGGAGACAGGTATGTTCTGCACAGCAAAAGAAAGCACAGAGCCTTTTGCTATTCTTCTGACTCTTCACTTCCCAGCGGAGTGGAGCACTCATACAGTACTTCCTTTGTTTGCAGATCTTTGAGGAGGAATACAACGTTTGGTTTCTGGACTGGGGAGGGGCACTAGTGGCCATGAAACACACGTCAGTGCCCATCCGGCACATGTGGTAAGGGAACTTGTTACTTTGAGAGAGTGCCAGTGTCTGTAGAATGAGAGGTGAAGTCATTCTTATCTGTGTTTTACCACCATTTTGTTTTTATTGATGAGTATAGTGATTATTGCACCATTTTATAAATATAATGGCTCCATACATAATCACCTATGTTATGAATTCTCTTTGCACTGGTAATGTACTGTGAGCCTCCAGTGGGGGTTTCTTTCCTACAGACACACATATACTAAGTCATCCTTTAGGCTTCAGGTATTTCTGAGAGGATGTGTTTCTCGTTTCTACATTTTGTTTACAGAATTTAACGTTAATCTGGTAAGACAGATAAAGGGAGGGAGAGGAGAGGGCAGTAGGTGTAGATAATGACAACAGAGATATGTTGCTAACCCCTCTAGTATTTGACTATCAGTTTCCAGAGATACTGTGGTGGCAACTGATTAGAGTTGGAGGTGATATAGGGCAAAATGATTTCTCAGTTGAAGACACTGTTTTGCTATAAATGGGTTATAACAGCCTAAGCACTAAAGATACCACTCAAAATTATCCTCTTCTTAGCTCTTGCCCCTCTGACTCCTGCACCAGTTACACATTCTGAAATTCACAACTAACACTGTTTACAGAAAATGGCTGTGTTAGTACCACCTTCAGTCTCAGGGCTTGATTGAAAGAGGGGCATATCTAATGGGCTGACCCACCCAGCTGCTAATGTTGTTTAGAAGTGAATTAGTTAGAAATAGATTTCAGAGACAAGATGCATTCCTGTGTACAATACTGGGTTGTCTCTCAGCTTGATGGTGCTAAGCACATGTCTGTTACTTTGCATGCAGAGCAGGAAATGTGGTCTTCAGTCAAATAGAAGGAGAAAGCAATGGTTTTTGGCAGCAGTGATGAGGTGTTAAGGTCTCCTCTACCTGAGTCATTATTGTACAAAATCCTCCAGTGAAATTGCAGTCATTCCAAATCTGGACACCTCAAGACACCCATTTACAAGCTCTGAAAACATTAACATTTACTTTTTCAATATAAAAAGCTTCTGGACTTTGTTTCTGACCTGACAGACAACTCTGGGATGAATGCAACATAGATTTCTATAAAAGTTTGAATATATTGCATTTGAGCCCATTCTTGTGCTACCTGGAGCAAAGAAATTACTGTTTTAGTCACAGAGCGATAGTGGACTGTTAACCACGGGATGTATTGGCTCCATAACTGGACATACAAAGGAGAGCAGTAACAGAGCAGACTCCTAAGGATGAGCTGCAGACTCCAGTCTGTGCTGTGAATGTGTTGGGGTGTGACTGGAAGCCTCTGATGGGTACCTCAGTTGTCATGGCTATGATTAAAGTGCTCTCAGGAAAGAGGACATCAGGACCATGTCCCAGTCTTTAGACTAAACCAAGGATGAATCAAGCAAGGGGAAGTTTGAGTTAGCCAAGGGTGGTTGCCACTAGCAGTGAGTGCATCAGACTGCAGCAAGTTGAGCTCTGGAAGAGTGAAAGGTGAGCCCCTCACGGAAAAAGCTGCAAGTCACATATTAACCATTTGTTACTGCATTATTCAAGCCAGGTGAACTGTTTTAATTGTGTTTTTAATTGTGAAGGCTCTTTGGACAAAAAAAGCATGCTACTACAAGTGCCTGTACTTACATATTGGGAAAGATTTGGTCACAGGCTGACTTTTCATAGGAGCCGACAGCTCAGTTCACCTTTGTTTGCAGAGGTTCCTTTCAGATGCTCTCCTTTTACAATAAGTCTTCTGAAATGGTGTGTACAGTTCTGAGTGCCCCACCCACTCTATTAAATGAGTAGTGATTTAGATTTGTTATCAATAAGCTCCAACAGGTTTCCTTCAAAATTGTACCCTTAGGGGCTTTGGAATTTGCTTCATATTGCTTCAGTAGGCACCTGTTTTATGGGCAGGAATGGAATAGATTAAAGGGTACATGTAAATCTATTAGTTCTCAGGCTGAGACATTGTACAGTAAGTTTCATGCTGGAGAAAAGAGGGGTGGATAATTGAAAAGCTGAGAGAACTTTAGCTAAGCTAATGAAGCATGCTGTTCCCCAGAAGTTGAAATGCTATTTGGAGAGATAAGCATGCAAGCAGAACGCATACAAATGCACAGGTGTATGGGAAGATACATACATTTAAATAAATAGATTTAGGGCAGATAATCTTTCTGTGTGCTGTTGTGCTCCCAGAGTTCTGTGTTCCTATTCTTGCACAGGTGCATTCTGAGACAGGTGAAGGTGTCTTGTTAAGTGACGTGAGGGGTCGAGAGTTAGGGAATGGTGACTGCCAGTCTTGGCTTTCCACACCAGAGATCTGAGGTTTGTGTAACCCATGGTTTATAATACACACTATAGTGGCCTCCTGGTCCTTTGGTGGTGTGTCAGATACTGTCCTACATACTTGGAGCAGGGGAGATTCAGTGTCCACCAAGAGCCTCCCAGACAGATCCAGGTACTCAGATGCCCGTGTGTGCCCACACATTCAACACTCCTCACTCCCACAAATAAGCTACATTTGCCTTTAAGTACTCATAGGGCTAGGGAGATTGTAGCTAATGCCATATGGCATTGGTACATGGATGGGTCAAAATGTCCTGTGGTGGTGAAAGCAATTTTTATGCATTCAGGCCAGAGTTGCTTGTGCTCTGAGTGGTCCTTCATGCCAGGTGCTAGACCCAGAAACAGGTCTTGGCAAAGCCTCTTGATCCCTTGAGGTCTGATGTGCAGCTGCATAAAGTATATACGTGTCCTTATTGCCAGTGTTTATGCTTTCTAAAGCTTTGATCTTTCGAAGTACATCAAGAGCATGAATTTAGTGGGCTGGGAAATGGCAAAGATTGGTGCTTGTCTGTAAATCCAGCTGCCAGAGCTTGCAGACCTTAGCCAACATTTAATTGCTGCATTTTCTCTAGAGTAAGTCTTTTTATGTGTATAAATGTTGTCTGCTTCTATCCCAGGGTGAGTTTTGATGAGGGAAGATCCTGGATTAAATACAGTTTCACATCAACACCACTTTTTGTGGATGGATCCCTTGTAGACCCTGGCATAGAGACCCAGATAATGACGTAAGTATAGCAGCTCCAGTTTTAAATTGTGATGGCAGAAGGGGTGCATAGAGATCCCCAAGCTCATGGTAACCTCATGATGTGCAGTGCAGCATTGTGTAGCTGCACATGCAGTGTTTCATGAAGGCATGGTGCTGTTTTATGGGTTTTGCTGGTGGACAAAGGCCTGGCTGGCATGTTCTTGCATCATGTGGCAAATAGACACTGGAGCCAAGCTCTTTCCAGCAGTGACAGGGGCTATAGCAAGGAGAGATGGTCCCAAGCTGTGGCCTGGGAGTTCACACAGAGCCATAGACAGATCTACTTCTCTGGAGAGTGGTGCAGCCTTGGTCAGGTTCCATCTAGTGACAACCAGAGGTCCTTTCTCATAATTACTGGTGAGATTGCATTCCTTGGTTGTGAAGGCCCAGGGACTGCAGTGCTCTTCAGAAGTCAGAGATCTGTATGACTGTACCTCATGCCAGTTCTGTGCTTGCTCCACTTGTGCAACATAGCTGTCTTTTGATATTGCTGGTGGGTATGAATGTCCCCCAACCTTGTTGCTTGTATTGTGGGCCGTACATCCAGTTTTAGCTCAAGATAAAAGTGTTCTCATTGTGCGTATGCAGAACTGAGCTCAGAATAACCTTCCTGTTCTGAGGTGTAGTATGCTATGGCTCACCCATCCCATGGAAGGAAGAGCCTGGGCTGGCACTGATGATGCTGGGACCTTCCTCCTCCCAGAAGTGCTGAAGCACTGGGTAAGGCTGGTGGAACCAGTGGAGTGATGTTGGCTCAAGAACAGGCCAGGATTTGTGTTTTAACAACCAGGTAAGGGAAGTTTTTAAGTTCAAAGGCATCTTTAAGTAGTCATCTGACCTCTTGCACAAAGCAGATCAGAGCACTGTGCTCTGGGGTTCTGAACAAAGCAAGGACAAGATGCACTGCCTGCATTGGTTTCAGAAATGCCTTCTTACCTGTGCTTCTTTGAACTGGATGAAACAGCTTTCTGAAAAACATCAGAAAGCAAGGTAGCTAAGATACCTTAGACTGAGGCATGCCTGTGAAGCATACTTACAGTGGCATGAAAAAGTGGCTTTGGTTAATCACATCAGATCACACTGTTGCACCACTCCAGTTCAGGGGCAGGACATTGATTTGATTATAAATTTCATCTTGCAGTCAATCTGCTTTTCTGCATCTGCACTTGGAGTTGCTGCACATTTTCACTGCTTGCAAGAGAAAAGAGATCAAGTTTAAAAGAGAAAACAGGTCAAGTTTATTTGCTTCTAGGCTTCAGTCCATCTGCATACTTATATGGCATAAATGCGTGGGTGGAACTCACTGCTGGTGTCACAGGTAGTGAGAAACTGAGTGCCATCAGTTTCTGAGGAAGTTGGGACAGGGTAATAGCTGTGTGTCTTAGATATTTCTGCTACTGATTTGAATGTATTCCAACTGTTTTGCATGATTTGTGTTGTTATGCCTTTCAAAACCAGCTCTACGCCAGCTTTACACAAACAGAAGTGACCATGTGCCTATACTTGAAGTTGAGCTCAGCTGCAAGAGAGGAGCTGGGGGAAAATCATATTTTACTCTCCTAACAAATGATCATTTGAACTGGCTTCTGTACCATCTATGCCATGGCAGAAGAAATGTTTGGTTGTAGCCTTGGAGGCCTCAGGAAAGCATAGGTGACTCCCATACAGCACATCCATATCCCCTGTGATAAACTGTCTTAGGAAGGACAGGCTAAGTAATTATGGTTATGCTTTACACAGCAGCACTCTGCTTTATTCCCAAACAGTGCTGGAGCACAACAAGGCAGCCTCTGTGTCTGTCACAGACAGCTACTGAGATTTTATCAGAGTAGAGGTGGTGTCACTTCTGGTGGCATTGCTCACTTTTCCTTTTTTCCAAAACAATGCCTTGGCTTTGACTTTCTTTCTTTTTTTTTTTTTTTCTTTTTTTTTTTTTTTTTTCAAAAAAGCAAGGTCTTTGTTTTGTAGAAGAATATATCTGTGCATCTCTTGCCTTTCTATCAGCAAACATTGCCCTGTTTTTGCAAAGAGCAAAACTCAACAGCATATGATATGTGAGACTTTTCAGGAGACTGCTGTGAGCCTCCTGTTGGGAAAACACATATGCCAATTCCCAGCTAAAGATTAGAACCTGCAGTTCTCTTCGCTCTGAGTATTTTTTCTGCAAATGCAATGACAATGTGTAACTTTCTGTGTTGTTTAATATGGTGTTTTTCTGTGAAATTCTTTGTGCAACGTGTGTCAGTTTCCAGCTGCACACACGTGCAGACACATGCACACATATGCAGAGAGATAGATCTGAACTCGCATAAATCTGCACATCAGCACCTTCACTGAAATCAGTGGAGCTAATCAGTTGCAACTTGCTGTCGATTTAGGCCATTTGCTTTATAAATCAATGCAGTTTTCTTTTGAGATGAAAAATGCATTATAAATCTAAGGTTATTGTTATTTATATCTCTGTAGTCTTCTGGTGGAGAATGTAGGAAGTGAGTTATCTTCCTGAATATTGTGTACTAGGTTTGTTGAGAAATTTTTATTTTGAAATCTTTGCAGGCATTTTACCATTATTGTTGCCATTGCTATTGTTATTGCCTTTATTATAACTGTCATCATTAGCAGTTTTAAAAACCATTCTTAATAGTCTTTAAAAGCCATACAAAGAAATTTCACATGACACTTGCAATGAATGTTTTGAGAAATTTCTATCCACAGCATGAAAGGAACTGAGGAGGAAAGAGCCCATTTATAAAGCTCTATGCAAACCATTTAGGTGCTTCTCCCAATGAGAATTTTAATGAACTCATCTATAAGGGCAGTGTAGGGTGATGCTGAGCTTGTGTAAGCTTTGGCTGAGAAGAAATCAATGTCTTTCCATTACTACTTGCCACCCCCTGAACCAAGATTACACATGGTAATTTGAAGGTACATGGTATTCGTGTTTGGGGATAGAAACCCCAACGATTTCAAGAAGCTGAAGAGAGGAGCAAAACAGATTTGCATCCCAAAGCCAAAATGATCATAGGGTCAGTGGGAACTCTTAGACTTGAAGCAGCACTGAGGCAGAGAGACCAAGGCTGTGGTCCTATTTGTGTGCTGCCAAACTGGGTAGGTTAGTGGCTTTTAAAAGTTTGTCTCTCATCCCTGCAAATGCAGAATACTTCATCTAGTGGTCTCAGCTGATTCCTGTTAGAAAAAATTTCTTCCATAGATTTGCATCAAAGTGGTCTGTTTTCAACTATTTAAAAAAAGTAATATTCTGAGGGGAATGTGCATACACAGTCATTATACTCCAACTATTATTAAAATATTGCATTATTAACAATATTTTCATAATACTATTTTATTAAAATCAATATATCAGTAGAATGACTTTCCCAACCTTTATTTTGTGCCACATGCTGTGAGAGGCTCTCTGGGCTGTTGAAAGGAGCAAGCCTTTTAGCACACAATTTTGTACCACTTCATAGCTATTAAGTGAGTTTTTTCCATATCTGTCTTTATTTTATGAGTATCCTAGGCTTTTTGAATAATCTGTGCTTTGTGCTGTGTATGCTTGTCCTAAACAGTCATAAAAAACTTGTCAGTATGGTAACATCGGTAATTTGCATGGGTATAATGCTGCAAGAATTAATTATTTGTTTACAAGCTGGGGGGGGGGGGGGGGGGGGCTCAATTAAGAATGTAGTTTTGTGATGCACAGGAAGGTATCATGAGACTGTGTGAGCTGGTCTGCCTTGAAAAAAGTAAAGGTTAGGCTTTGGTCTGCCTAACCAAAGTAAATCCACTGTCCTTCCTCCAGTCCTGGCTGATCATCTTCTGCAGTTCCTTTTATTGTTGCTTTGACACTTCTCTCATCTGACAAGAGAGTCAGTTCAGCTCCTTTAGTGCAGAACTTTGTACCAAAGCACATTGTGCTGCTTGGTGCAGGTCTGGGAGAAAAGGCTGCAGAACACAGAGTCCTCTAGGAAAATAAATGCATGAGAGTGGTGGCTTAGGCATGTTCTCAGATGAATGCCTAGAATGAGCTAGCCTTTTTGAAATCTACAGGTTTCTAAGTTCTGTACTGTACCCCTCACTGTTAACTAGTGTATCTTTTAATGATGTCATGTTCTGATGGGTCAGATCTAACATTTTTGGATTGACAAGCCATAGGCACAGCATGTTACTTGTCTGAGGCTGTCAAACAGGGGAAAGGAATCACACTGTATTCCCCTTCTAGTCAGTTGTGATATATCCAAACTAGTTTGTACCATTCAAATCAGAGACAATATGTTGTCATGGGTCCAGAGAAGGGCTTTATGTTGTTCCAGCTCTGACTCATAATTATTACCCCTGCCACTTCATCTCCTGTGCTAAACATCTCTCCAAACCTATATTAAGAGGAACAACCTTTTTGCTTCACAGCCCTGCATCGTTTTAGTAGACTCATTATGTGTGTATGTGTGCAGACACTCATTTACAGATGGGGATCATTAAGTTTCTCTGTACTGATAAATAAATATTTATGTAGACACACCCACTTGTGTATATAAATTTGTATGTAGTTCTATGCATATGAACTTAATGATCTCTATATATGTGTGTATGCATAATTGAGCATTAATATTTGCAGTGAGCTGAAAGTTGGTCTGTCAACACTGCTGTGACTGCTGCCCTTGGCTATGTGTGTTAGAAAATGTTCTTGGTTGTAAATGAATAGGGTACAAGTCCTGGCCTTTCCAACACCTTCTTGTTTGTGTGGCCATGCAGCTTCACCAGAGATGGAGTGGGAATAATTCTTTCTTTCCAGGAGACCCATAAAATTACTGTCAATCCATCACTGGGTGGCAGAAGAGTGAGGAAGAATGAATAAGTAATTGAGAGATGTTGGAAAAGTTGAGATGGGTGCCCAGGGAGGTTTGAGGTGAGAAAGAAAGTATTAAGAGCACAGGCCACACTGTGTCAGAACAGAATTCCCTCTATTTCAGTTCCATGTTC